TCTTACTCCCTACTTAGAGTGGCTCTTGAGTTTTGTAGAGGGTGAATATTATTGTAAAAATATCCAATAATGGCAACTGTTCCCGAAAAGAACCTCTAATCTGTAATAAACTGGGGTAAAGAATGGCTTGTAAATTTTAACGCCTCCAAACCAAAACTGCTTTCATTTAATAATCATAGAGAATTTTTCTGTCTGCCATCAGCATGGCTGATGCTAAACTCCAGAACAGCAACACTTTATACCTTCTTGGGCTCACATTTTCCACTGACATGAAGTGGAAAGATTATATTGAATTAATTGCTAACTCTATTGATAGGAAAGTTGGTTTACTGTGGTATGCTAGACAATTTTTCTCATGATAATCTATCTTACACAGTCTACCATTCGTCCATGCTTCGAATATTGTTGCCACATCTGGACTGCGTCTCCTGCTATATATTTAGAGATTCTTGATAAAATCCAAAGAATCTGCAATGTCATTGCTCCTGACCTGGCATATTGGCTTCAGTGAATTTCTCATCACCGTAATGTAGCTTCCCGGTGCCTTTTCTTTAAATACTTTCATGGTAATTGTTCTGATGAACTTGCTTTTATGGCTCCTAGACTTTATGAATTTAAGAGCAGTACTAGATTGGCAGCAAGGTGTCATTGTTTTACAGTTGAAATGGCTGGATATAACTGTTGTGTTATTTCTGGATAAATATTTGAATTGATTCAGTCTTTCTTATCAAATAACGAAATGAAAGTTATATTGAATGGCCACTCTTCTAGATCTTTTTGCAGTAATACAAGTGTTCTCCAGGGCTCTATCCTTGGACCTACTTTGTTCCTAATTTTCATAAGTGTCTTTTCTGGTGTCATAAATTCTCTAGCTATCTGTGCTGATGACAACTATTTATTCTTGGCTTAAGGCTGATTGACAACTGATCTTAAAAATTATCTACAATCTGGTGCAAGGAATGGTTTGTTAATTATAATTCCTCCAAAATAAACTGTTCTCTTTTAATCGTCTGAGAGAACCATGTCTAACTTCCATCAGCATGGCTGATGTTAACTTAACTCATTGTCTATTCTCAGGTTAACATTATCGGCTGACATGAAGTGGAAAGATTATATTGGATCCATTGCTAGGTTTGCTGCTAGAAAATTTGGTTCAGTGTGTCACGTTTTACTCTTTAGAATTCATCCTGTACATTTATAAATCTACCATTCCTTTATGCACTGCTGTCATTAAATGGTCTGATACTCCTACTTGAGATTCTTGACAAAATTCAAAGAAGAGTCAGCAATGTAATCGATCCTGACCTGGTATCTCGACTTCAGTCATTTTCTCACCGCTACGAAGTGGTTTTTTTTTGTTTTCTTCGCTAAATATTTTCATGACAATTGTTCTGATGAACTTTCCACCTTGGTGTCTTGACTGCATGATTTTAAGCGCAGTACTAGATTGGCAACTAGATATCAACAGGTTACTGTTGAACTAGGTAGAGGCAGCCATAAGTTCTAATCGTTTCTTTTCTCGTACTGCTCGCCTGTGGAACTCTATTCTGATTTCTTGCTTCCTTACTATGATCTTCAAAAATTTAAATACAACACCTATTGCCACCTAACTTTTTTAATCTTGTTCTTTTATTAACCTTTCTCCTCCCTAATCTCTTCGCATTCTCTTTCACTCCCAGTGACCCTTTTGCGTCTTAGTGGTATTATCGCCTTGCTTGGCGTGAAATGATTAAAAAATACTGACAAGTTTGAAGAAGGCCTTAACAAAGAACTTGGCGATGCTTAAGGATTAAGGTGAAAAATAATTTCAATCATAAAGAAGGATTTATTGATGATTAGGTATATTCAATTTTCATGGTGGAAAATATGCCTTCCAAAAGTTAGGTAAAGTATTAAGAAACTGAAAATTCTCGTTAGAAATAAAGAAAAGAATACTGAACTGTTATGCAATATCAGTCTTCCTATATGGCAGTGAATACTGGAAATCTTCTCACAGATGAAGAAAAGAAGTGCAGCAACAAAAATGTGGTTCTACAGAAGGATGCTGAGAATAACATGGACCGAACTATGAGCAACAACGAAGTTCTAGAGACACTTGAAACAAAAAGGACACATATTTAACATCAGGAAGAGACAGGTGAAATTTATAGAGTGCCTAATGAGGAAAAAAGGCTTGGAAAATTTGATACTCCCGTGACAGTTCGAAGGCAAGAGGGACAGGGGAAATCAACGCACAAACTACCCGGCGAGCTTGATTGAATGGATAGCGAAGCAGGGTTTTTGGAGAGGTGGTGAAAAGAGAAAAATTATTTCGCGCTACAAAGGACAGGAAGAGAACCATGATTGCAAACGTCCTAAAGGAAATACGACACATAGAAAAAGAAGAGTAAAAAAGGCCATGAAACATTTATGAAACGTAATTTTTGTGTTTGTTTTTTTTTATTATCTTTTTGTTAAATGAAAGTTGAACAAATTTTTAAAATTTTGAATATTATTTTTACATAATAAATAGAATCGGAAATATTTGCGTTTAAAAGCGTTGTTCACTGTTCGTTGTTTTCTATAAATATATATATATATATATATATATATATATATATATATATATATATATATATATATATATATATATGCTCAATAGGATTTAAATCTGGTGAACGCTGAGGTTAATATGGTGTTTTGGTGTCAGTTAAAATATTCCCATAACTAGGACTGCTTTTGTCTTGCAAGTATAAATCATCGTCCCCGGAATATATAATTCCTAGTGAAAGATTTAAATTGATTCGTGCTGGTCATATCAATCAAGACAGACGCCATTTTTACTTGCCTAATCCAACAGAATACATCTTTTGAATCTACTGATCGGGTACTGCTTTTATATATGCTTTGTTATGGATCGTAATATATCAATGCATCATATATAATACATTAATACATCAATATATACCTTGTTTTGGATCGTAATACATCAATTTTTTAAAAATTTCAAATTTCATCTAATTATTGGATTTGAATAAAACTTTGGCATTTATGTAAAGGAGAATATTTCTAAAGAAAGTAATGGATTTTTTATCAATGCGGCAGATTTTCATCCCTTTAAACGTTATTTTTATAGGATGCTTTTATAGGATAAGTAGACGCTTCGTTTATTTATTAAACACTATATTTATTTATTTTCGTTTATTGGCCTGGATATTCGAGATATATGCACGAGAGCGCAATTTTTTTGCGAACATTCAGGCCGGTAGACGAAAATAAATTTATTGTTTAATAAATAAAAGTAGAGTCTACTCAAATATGAATATCCACTAAAAATAATGTTTAAAATGATAAAAAAGAATATATATATATATATATATATATATATATATATATATATATATATATATATATATATATATTTAAAAAAGTCTGTTTTAAAAGTTTAAGTTTTAATAAATTTAATCAACGGAGCCCGCTTTTTTTTTTAATTTGATAATTTTAATTTGATAATTTTAATTTGATAATTTTCAATTGTGTATTGAGGCGGATGACACTGAGATTTATGTTTTTTAAAGAAAAGTCATTGGAAAATTAATATTTAAATATTGAAAAAATCGGAAACCAATTCGATACGGAAGACTTTGTCATAAATATTTGTAAAATAAAAATAAATTATCACCCTTTTTATATTTTTTTATCGTCTGCAACAAAAAAAAATCCATAATAACGTGATATTTTAAAAGCCTTTATTTATTTTTTCAAAAAGTGAACCACGATAGAAATTTTGTTTTTTTAAAAACTTGATGTCCTTTAAAATCAATAAAGGTCATGGGAAAATATTCTCCGAGACTATTCTTAAAATAATTTTAACAATATTACATTACTCCAATACATCACTTGTGTATGAGCAACCAGATATTGTTTTCACTTTGAAAATAAAATAGTTTACTTCCTAAACATTTCAAAGTTAAATTTTATTTCTTTAAATATTGTAATAACTATTTTAACAATTCGTGTGACAGAATGTTTTCCGGAATTAACTTTTTAAAAGTAATGAGTGCTTTTTTTTTCTTTTTTTAAAAAAAAAAAAAAATTATTTTGCAAAAAATAAAATATTGAATTTTATTACGGGCCAGTATATCTACAAACGGAACTCATTCAGATTCAGGCTCTCAACACGAATGGGGCTCTACTTCCGGTTTCATCTGCAGGGATTGGCAGAGGAGGAGAAGGGGTTTTCCCGCCAGGATAGATGCTGCGGTTGTAGTATCTGTTCCGTGCCGGAAGCCATCTCTCCTCCTTCGCGTAACCCCGCCCAACGTTGCGTAACATATGACCGGCTATGACGAGCTTAGACAAGCTCTGACCAGCTTACACCAGCGGCCTGAGTGGAAACACTCGGGTCCCCACGTTAAAAACCGATCTTGTGTTACGACCTTAATCAGTGAGGCGTTAAGGTAAATCTCGGACTCTCAACACGAATTTGAGTCGCTCTCCGTCAGTCATCAATAGTATAAAAATAGTTTTTTTAAATGTTTTTTAAATAAAAATTGGCAAGTTTTTAATGTAGTTAAATCTACTAAAAATGAAAGTATTTATTGCCATTTAAAAATTGCCTAGATGTTACGATTATTTTTTTTTATTTTTAATAGTTTTCTTTTTTCTATTTGTCTATAAAGTCGAATTTCTGTCAATCAGCGCCCATTGTGATTTTTACCGATTCTATGAGAGATGATGACCTTCTTAGCTGCTTAATTCAACCTTTATTAATCCAAAGTGTTTTCTTCTGAGCAAAACGGAAATTTCGGTTTTTCTGTTTGTCGTGAAACTAACAAAAAATGTAAGAACTCAATTTTTTAATTTTTAATAAATATTTTCCGACAAGATATCAGATTTTCGTCGGAGATACTAAACTGACTGTGAATGATAATAGTGAAGAATAATCGATTAGGCTGAGTCATTAGTAGTTTCCATGTTTGGGGGAACCAATTGCATGGAGGAATGTATCAACCTAACAACTAATTATACGCGGCAGTTAAATGGAATACAATCATAGATAGATAGATAGATAGATAGATAGATAGATAGATAGATATTAACAGACTGAGACAGACAGACAGACAGACAGACAAACAGACAGACAGATAGATAGATAGATAGATAGATAGATAGATAGATAGATAGATAGATATGAACAGACTGAGATAGATAGATAGATAGATAGATAGATAGATATGAACAGACTGAGACAGACAGACAGACAGACAGACAAACAGACAGATAGATAGATAGATAGATAGATAGATAGATAGATAGATAGATAGATATGAACAGACTGAGATAGATAGATAGATAGATAGATAGATAGATAGATAGATAGATAGATATGAACAGACTGAGATAGATAGATAGATAGATAGATAGATAGATAGATAGATAGATAGATATGTTGAGTCAAGTGTAATTTCTGTTTTTGAGAAACCAACTGTAATGACGAATGTCTCATCCTAACTGCTGATAATACGTGGCTGTTAAGAATACATTTGAAGTACACTAACATATTTAAGCTTACTGCCATGACACGTTGAAATAACGTCTCTCGTCCGATCATTGAAATTTTGCAACGTCGAGCCTGGTCACCACCCAGAATGCTGATCGCTTTAGCATACCAAATACTGCAAGTGTAATGAATGACATGATCGAGATGAGAAATCGTTGAACCGTGTTCGAATTCCAATCGAGTTTGTTACATTCACTTACGTGTGTCTCCACCTAAACTACCTAATTTTATTTCCTGTTTATTTATTTTTTCCGTCTTCGATTGGGTTTTCCGGTTCTGAACTCAGAAATTTTATTCATTAATTATTATTTTTTTTTCCTCTCGCAATAGAATTGCATTGGTTCGCCTATCGTCCGGTTCACATCCTTCGTCGGTATTTTGAACAGGAGTAGAGGTTTATCCTTTGTTTTCTGTTTAGGACTGGATTTCTGATTCCTTCTAAAGTCTACTTCTACACTATACTTCACATGAACTCTGAAATGTTATTCACTAATTAAATCTTGACTTCTTCAAGCCTAGAGGTAGCTGTTATCTCCCCTGCTTAACCCCAAGAAATTAAATTCTTGCCCCTTTCTTAATACAACACCACACAGTAACGCTTTACCTTGAGTGGCTCTTGGTCCTTGTATTGGGTGAACATTAGTTAAAAAAACATGATCACCCAAGTGTATCACATCCGCCCCTACCAGCACTCATCGGGCCATCGGGGTAAGGTAATAGCCTATTATTCCCCGTCGATCTAAGGGAGGCCTACACTCAACAAAGTAACTCCACAGGCTGAGAATAAGAAAAAACATATCTTAGATTTTCCACACCAGTCGCAGCATACACAGCGGATTAAAAGGAAAGTGTTGTTGTCCATTTACCTGAACTTGCACCAATTAATAATTACCTTTTTTGATCGCAGAAGAAATGTTTGATGGATAAAACTTTCTCTGACGAAAACCAGATTTAAGAGTTCGTCGAAAACTCTTTCACATCAAAACCTTCGGAATTTTACTCAAAAGGTAAGATGCTAATAGCGTACACCTCATACAAGATGGTCAACTCTTTTTGGATACGGATCTCAAAATCTACATTTGGAGTCAACACAATTTTTCAGTATTTTTGATTGATAATTTATAGTTATCACACTTTGTGTTGTATCCTTATAGAGGTTACAAGCAGACAAAAGTAGTACTTGAGTGAAGGAACAGCAACACGTAGATGAGGGAAAAGAGGATGTAGCACAGGGCCGTTTTTAATGCTAGTTCAGAACCGAGCCCGTAGGGTCGGACAAATATTCACCGTAGACCCCGTATACACGGGGTCGGGTAGCAGTCTACCACCCCAAACGAGGCTATGCCGAAGGGCAGAGACTCGTCTGGAGTGGTTTCTCTCTGCTCGAAAGCAGAGAGTTCGATCAGCACAGTGGAGACGAATCTCCAACAAATTGCCGAAGCAAGGATATTTACCAACCGCCCAACGCGGTCAGATGCGGCACAAAACCGAATTTAACGTGGGGTATCCGATCCGTAGGCCCGGACAAAAAATTCCCCTAGACCCCGTATAAAACGGGGTCGGTTAGCTGTTTCCCAAGACAAAACTCTTCTTTTCCACATAGCCTCGTCTGGGTTTCTCTCCGCCCGAAAGCAGAGGATTCTACCAGAACAGCTGGAGACGAATCTCAAACTAACTGTCGAAGCTAGAGTATCTAGCAACTGCCCCACGCAGTCAAATATGGCACAAGGCCGAATATAATGTGGGGTTCCAGAGAGCGCGGGCTCGGCCAAAAATTTCGAGAAGACCCAGCATAAATAAGATCGGGTCGGACTAGCTCTCTGAACGAGACTCTACCCTTCGGCATTGCCTCGTCCGGGTTTCTCTCTGACCGAAGGTTGAGAGTTCGTTCAACACAGCTGGAGACGAATCTCCAACTAATTGTCGAAACTATAGAATCTAACAACTGGCCCACGCAGTCACATGTGGCACAAGGCCGTAGGTTCGGATAAAAAAAATCCCCGTAGACTCCGCATAAACGGGATCGGGTCTGTCTACTTCCCCGAATGATACTCTGCCCTTCGGCATAGCCTCGTCGGGGTTCCTCTCTGCCCGAAGGCAGAAAGTTCGACCAGCACAACTGGAGACGCATCTCCAACTAATTCCCGAAACTAGCCCCCAGGTATATCCTGTGCTCACTATATCTAGCTATTGATATAGTCAGTTCACATAGACAATAGGGAATGTGGGACATTCCATTACAACACTTTGATACCATGCAGCAAGAATAAAACTTTCGGTTTCAGCTTTCAATCCTGCAGTCGCTGATTGGTATGGGTTTTATCTACAGCAAGTTGTTTGACTCGGGAAGATTATTGACCAGGAAGAGGTTTATCTTGCTACCGTTTCTTTTACGTCTACCTGCATTTTTAGGTTCTTTGCTGCTGCAAAGGGAGTATTATGGCTTGTTTGCTCTTCGTCATCCACTTAAAATTCCCTTTTGAATTTGTTGTCTCCCTTTATTACTGAATAAAGTTTCTTTTCATTTTCTCTGCACAGATTATCACCCGGTATAGTTTCTAGGTATCTCTGAAAACCGATCGTTTTGTAAAACAGTTCTTGTTAAACTCATCCTCTGCCTCCTCAGATCTGGAACAAACAGACGATCAATATCGGCCTTAGTATAATGCTTGAGATAGCAATTGGGAAACTTTCTTGTTTTGACATCAGTTCGATTAATGTCAGTTATGATCCAGTTAATAACGTTGAAACTGTATTGCACCACAGGGAAAGCTAAAGTGTTTATGTTTAATATTCTGTTTTGTGAATTCAACTCTGTATTTAACACCAGATATACACGCCTGTAGTATTTTTCTCTTAACTTTTTCTCCTTCATTTGGGTATACTGTATTCGATCTCCTTCGCTGACTTTTAGGTATGTATAGGCTTCTTTTTGTTTCAGTCGTCTTATCTTTGTGAGAAAATCGAAATCTATTGAGAGTGTTTCGGTAATTCTCCCTTTCTTGAATGTTACTTTTTTGTACATCTAATTCGAAGTCCATACCTATGTAATCACTGAAATATTTTACTCTATTGAGGGGACCTTTCAAATCCTTGTTACCTTTGGCCAAAGGTTTTAGGTCGTCCATGTAGAATAAGTGATTAGATCCGACGTCAACGAAGAAGACGAAGGAGGAGGAGGAGGGGGAAAAAGTAGGGAAAAAAAAGAAAGGAAAATCGTAAAAGAAATAAGATAAAGGAGATGGACAAAGCATAGGGTAGGAAGTAGAAAAAAAAACAACTAAGAATGGGTAAACGCGAAAGGAAATAAAAAAAAACAATGAAAAACTATAGCAGAATAGTATTAAAATAATTTTCAACTACAACTACTACCCGTATAATACTACTACTACTACTAATAATAATAATAATAATAGCGTTATTATTAATAATAATAATTATAATAATAGTAATAATAATAATTGTAATAATAATAGTAACAGTAATAATAAAAATAATTATAATAATAGTAATAATAATAATAGTAATAATAACAGTAAAAATAATAATAATTATAATAATGATAGTAATAATAATTATAATTAATATTAATAATTATAATTGATTATAATAATAGTAATAATAACAGTAATAATAATAACAGTAATAATTATATTAATAGTAATAATAATTATAATAATAATAGTAATAATAATTATAATAATAATAGAAATAATAATAATAATTATAATAGTAATAATAATAATTATAATAATAATAGAAATAATAATAATAATTATAATAGTAATAATAATAATTATAATAATAGTAATAATAATAATAATAATAATAATAATAGTAATAATACTAATAACAATAGTAATAATAATAATAATTCTAAAAGTAAGTCCAGTATTTTTTGTCCGTTCCGCATGTTTTCTCTGCTAACATCTGGCGATCATTGTTCTCGCTATGTGTAAGTGTGTCATGAAAATCACGTTCTTATAATGCAGTCCAAAGAGAATACTTAAAGGACAACGTGCCATAAGACTTTTTTTTATGCAGAGCCGGAGGCGCTTTACAACAATGGAGACATGTCCACAACGAGAGGCTAAAAGCTGATGGTCGAACGCTTGCCACACAGCAATCGACGTCGTCAATAGACCCAGTTGGTCTGAATTCATTTTATTTCTCTTGGGTGAGCTATGATCCAAGGCCACTCTGACCTGTTATTTAAGCCATAGCTGAAGAAAAAAAAAAAAAGAGATGCATTCATACCTTTTCCGAGGGCGATAGTGTGAAAGGGAACACAGCTAAATTTGACTTCATCTCACTTTCCTTACGTTACGCTGTTTGCGTATAGAATGCTTATGGCACATTAATTACAAGTCGGATAAATCAACATTTGTTGTAAATACCTTAACGCTGTGGTAGTTATCAACGTATGCCATCACAAATATCAGCGTCATTTCTATCTGCTTCTACTTGCAACCACATGGCGTCCATTTTCTCTCTCGATAATTATCATTGCAACGCTTTTGAACAGGTTGCATGGCAAGATAAATCGTATTTTCATGAATAGTTTGGATGTAGATAAGGATATTGATATGGTTTAGAACTTTTACTGCGATCCAAAAATATAATAATAATAATAATAATAATAATAATAATAATAATAATAATAATTATTATTATTATTATTATTATTATTATTATTATTATTATTCATTTATTCAGTTAGCGCACAATGTCCAGTTTCTCTTCGTGGTGGTGACCATCTCAGGGATATATTATTCAAATCTTGCATTTAAAATGTGTCCTATCATTATGTGATATTCTACATTGTTTATGAGCTTTTGTTTATTTCTTTCTCCTTTTCTTCATCTACTACCGTTGTTCTTTCTTTATCCCCTCCTGGTAAAATTTTGTTTTCCTTTTTTTTCTTTTTTCTTTCATTCTTGTTTGCCTCATTTTTTTTTAAGAAAGAGAAAGGACATGTGAAGAATTAAAACTGCTGAAGAATGAACGATAGAACGAAAGCAGAAGTGAAGAAAGAAAGGAAAAATGAAAAATGAAAAAAAAAGGAAGGAATGATTAAAAAATTCAAAATAGAAAAAAATGAAGAAATTAAAAGAAAAGAAATAAGGCAAGCAAGAAAGAAAGAAGTTCTTTTCGTGAACGTTGTCTTGCAAGAAAAAATTTTTTTTTTCTTTATTGCTTGCGTACCTCATTATTTTTTTCTTTTCTTTTAATTTCTTCATTTTTTATTTTTTCAATTTTTCTTCTTTCCTTCCCTTCTTTTCATTTTTCTTTTTTTCTTCACTTTTCCTTTTGTTCTATTGTTCCTTCTTCAGTTTTTCAGTCTTCACTTATCCATCCACTTTCTTCATAAAAATGAAGCAAACAAGAAAGAAAGAAAGAAAGAAAGAAAGAAGGGAAGAAAGAAAGTAAGAAAGAAAGAAAGAAAAGATGACGAAAGGATAAAGGTGCGACTTAAGAAGGAACAATGGTAGTAGATGAAGAAAAAGAAAAAGAAATAAAACGGGTTAAAGATAAATTTCATATTCATTTCTCCCACTTCCTCACATTTTCCTTCCTTTCTTTGTCTTCTTTTCTTCCTTCATCTTTTATTTCCTACCTCCCCATTTACTTTTTTATGTCCTTTCTTAAATTTTTTTCTTTCTCCATATTTTCTTTCTTTCTTTCTTTTTTCACTTCCTTTTCTTTGTTTACTTCCTTTTTCATTACTTCTATCTTTCTTCCGGTTTCCTTCTTTCTTTTATTTCTTTCCTTTCTTTGTCTTCTTTTCTTCCTTCATCTTTTCTTCCCGTTTTCTTCTTTTCTTTCTTCCATTCTTTTTTTCTTTCTCCACATTTTCTTTCTTTATTTTTCGTTCCCTGTTCCTTGTTTAGTTCCTTTTTCATTCCTTCTTTTCTTCTTCACGTTTCCTTCTTTTTTCTTCCTTCCTTTCTCTTTCTTCTTTTCTTCTTTCATCTTTTCTTTCCTACCTACCCGTAATCTTTCTTATGCACTTTCTTCCATTCATTTTATTTCTCCACATTTTCTTTCTTTCTTTCTTTCTTTCTTTCTTTCTTTCTTTCTTTCTTTCTTTATTTATTTATTTATTTTCGCTCCCTTTTCCTTGTTTACTTTCTTTCTCATTCCTTCTTTCCTTTTTCATGTTTCCTTCTTTCTTTTTTCCTTTCTTTCTTTCGTTCCCCTTCACATCTCCAACTTCAATGATTTATGCTGATAATCAGCGCAGTCATCTTCCTTTCGTTCTCAAATCTACCTTCTCCCCATGCCATCTTTCTTATCATATACCAAAAACAACCGTTACCATATACCAACATACTCAAATGCCGCCCCCGACTCTTTTCACAAGTACACTCCGATGGGCAATATGTACACGAACATCTGACTTAAATCCCAGATAGCGAACATTTTCTTTTCTCTACCCCACCCGTCCTCCTCGCCAGCATTTACATCGAACCTTCCCCAGCCTTTTACCCGCTTCCAATAGACTCCACTTCCTTGGTTTCCAAGACAACCGCTCCCTGGTGTTTACTCGCTATCGTCTGCCTGTCTACCTGTCTAATTTTAAACTTCCGGTTGCCATGATGGCGTAGGGACATCGCTGATGTTGCCTTGAGAGTACTTATCGTTAGCTAACAGCTCATTGGTCCGTAAAGATTTTATAATGTACCCATCACGGTAAAAGTTCAAGGAAATCAGTGCCTATTAATAACTCCTAATTTGACATCGTTAGTAAATCTAATATCATATGAAATGGCCAGACAAGAACCCCCTCCATTTCATTAGAGTAAGATTCAGAAAAACACCACCATTTTACGCTATTCAATGAGAAATACAAATTTGCATACTAAACATTACTTTTTTAGTTGTGTTCTAGCGAGGTAATGTTTATTTGGAGCTTTCTTTGTCTTCTGTTCTCGGTGCAGAATTGTTTCTTCACGTGCTTTGAGACATACTCCCACCCCTTGACATGTGACCGCGCTAAAATATTTGATCTTTCATTTTTTTTTTTAATTGTTCTTGGGCGAAGTTACAAAATCTTCTCGTTCACTATAAAGCAAAGCATTTTGTCACAATCTAAAACTCGCAGAAGCCATGATATGATTATTCCCAGATCGAAGCAACATCCAGCTACTTTCCATTCATTCAAAAACTAGTGAGAAATAGTTTTAAGGATCAATTATTGTCGAAGTTTCTAGTCCACTTTTGAGCAAGTGCTAAATGATTTGTTTGACGAGCATTTACAGTTTGAATAGATTGACTGCTTTGCTTTTTACGGCTTATCACCCTTTTGCGGGTTATTTAAGGCCATTAAAATAGTGGGCGAAAAGGATGATCACATTCAATGCCACGAAAAAAATAAAAGTAGTGACATTCCCCCATTGTCGATAGGACCCAGAACTTTCACCAATCGCGTCGAAAGGATGTTCCCTCAGGGTGACCCCTTGACTTGAGCGCCTATCACAGCTTAAACTCGTACATAAGATTCATGGCTAAAATGCTTTAAAAATCGTCGGTTCCCTGTACCGTTCCAGTAAATCCCTGACTCCTCCTGTTATCTTCTAGCTTTACAAGAGCCAGATCATGCCGAAAATATGCCATATGTGGTCAGAAGCTACCCAGTCTTCGCTTTCAACTCTTAATATAGTCCAAAAGCATATCGCGGCCTTGTGGGTGACAAATTATTATACAGCCAGCTACCCTTTTCTCACAGCTGGAACGTTGCAAGCTTCTCGCTGCGCTATCGATATTTCCATGGAAAGTGCTCAGACGAACTACATTGTCCGTGAAGGCTAGAACTGGTGCGTTCTAACCTTCACGGCCAAAACCCTCCTTGCCATGCATATTGTAGCGAACTACCTTCATTCCCTTCTTATTCCATTAGTGAGGTGTAAGTTCCACTCAAAAAGCTTCTTCCGACGAATCAATGCTTTCTGGAACCTACTCCCAAGAAGATGCTTCCCTGATCACTACAATCTTGACCTATCCAGATCTATGAGATCTGATGAAAGAGAGACTTTTCTTTTTATTTGATTTTTTTTTCACTAGTTTTTATCGCAACACTCAGACCGTTACTCAATTATATTTAAACAAACACGTAATAAAAAAAAAATTCCTGCGGATTACCAACATCGTCATTAAAAAAAAAAAACAATTGTTGTAATCGAATATCGTTGTGCTGGCATTTTCTAGATTTGGGCGGGTTGGGTAATGCAATATCATTACATATTTTTATGTTGTCATGTTATAAACTTACGAAGCGTTCAAATACTATTTTCATTCCTAATAGTGAATGTGCCTCTTTTTTTTTATCGACATTGAGCCTTTATCCGCTAAACATTACGTTATATCAAAGAACTAGATACACAGTTACATTGAGCTTAATAACACAGAGGGAACATTTGAATGGCTCATTCGTAGCATAGTTTATTTTTCTCTATATTTTATCTTGTACAAAAAATACTTTTATGCATCACTGTTTAGCGTTGTTTTGATCTCGGCATATTGACCATTTTTCCAATTGAAAACTATCCAATCGAATAGTCAAAGAATAAAGGCCGCGCTAGCTCGGTGGGTAAACACGTAACTAAAAGCCGAGAAGTTCTTTCTAAATAGATAAAATCTAGACGATCATAGCCTGGAAGCTGATCTATCCTCTGATCGAGCTTTCACAGCTCAACTGGTGTTGGGGAGGAGGCTACAGATAAACGAATTCTAATAACGTTTCATCATTGCAGACCCTGATTTTCCTCCCTTCCTAATTAACGGTTGTACTATAATTATTTACATTATTTACGTTGTTCTGACTTTTGTCTTCATCTTTATTGCCATATTCACGACGTTTTGGCAGTTGTACTCTCCGGCCTTCTTTAGGTGATTGTAATTTCGAACTGGACTCTTTATTTCGTCCACAGGGATAGATTGTTCTAGTCCCAAAAAATTACACTGATGTCCTCAAGGATATGTGGCCAGGTAGATAAAAGCGTTGGTTAGATCCAGTGGCTTGACCCAAGGAGTTGTGAGTTCAATATCTGGCAACTGCAGAGGTGAACATAAAAACTTGGAGAGTTGAGTTAAAGGGAGATAAATGAGACATCTGGAAGAGGCGTGGCACGTGGAACTAGAACAAGCTACCCCCTGTGGACGAAATAAAATTTCAATCACCCAAAGAAGTCCGGAGCGTACAATGGCCGAAACGTCAATAAAGATGAGGACAACAGTGCGAACAATGTAAATAATGTAAATAATTACAATATCTCATCTCAGAAATATAGACAGGTTGTACTGGAAGAAAAAGCTCACGCCAGATCCCAAGTAGAATCTATATATACGATCCATCGGTAAAGATGCTGGAAAAATTGTCAGTTCCTTTAGTGTACCAGTAACGAATTCACTCTTTAGTATGGCCCGCAAACTTATGGCATTGTACTATACCAAGGTAAGGTGAGTTAATGTCAAAATGAAAAAAAAAACTGCGGGCATTTAGATTTGGTGTTCCATTTAAGGATAAAACTGGCCACTCTATTCGAGGATACCCGTCTACTAGATTGGTTAGCCAATCCCTATTGCAGACGCTTGCTCAGACACATTTGTGTTTATTCAACACCCACAGAGCGGTTTATATTGCAACTATGCTGAGCAGACGTTTCTTACATTTTCTATCATGATCAACAATTTGAACAAGGCCAGCACGCTCAAGCATAACCATAACCGAATTTCACCCACAAGGATTGAGTCAACCCGTGGTTTGATTTTCAGGTACTTTTCAAAGGTACCGTACGACCCTTTCTTCCTGACAAATCGACCATGGTGAGATTCGAACATGGGTCTCATGGTCAGAATATGAACATTCTAACCACTCGGCTACGTGCCTATATATGAAGATAAAAGGTGTATATACTTTATTTTAAACATTTTTAATGACTAATAGTATCCGTAAAAATTTCACTGATATCCTGTTTTTATTTTGGTTGCTTGTTTCCTTTCTTTCTTGCATTCATTTCTTCACTGAAACCAAGTAGCGTTGCTGGTACGTCTTTTCCATCTTTGCAATCAAAACGGAATAATCCATTATTTATGAGGTATTACCCGGGCGTAATGGTCGTGCTAAGGAACTAAGGGAGGGACAACTAGAATTATAATAAGGTATTTGCTGTATGAAATGTTTATTCAAATGTAATATTTATTATGCAACTGTATTATTTTTATCGTATTTCTTCTACCAAGTTCAATTTGTAGTGAAACTAAGAAATTAAATTTAATATTTCCAATAAGCAAAATACTTTGATGTATTTCAAAACGAATTTAAATTGATTAGAATGAGTATTTTTTTAATCGCTAAAAACATCTGATTTTATCCATATTTACAATTCTCTCAGCATAACGCAATTCTCTTTATTAAAAATCTTTCAAAATATACTTTTCTTAAACATTATTTCAGGAAGATTAGCTATTTAAATATCAATCAATCTGATTTTAAACAATATTACATTTAGTTTAGAATATCACAGAAAAGCATTTTGTAACGCGTAGATGTTTTGTATGAAAAGTTTTATGAGACACTTATCGAGAGCCTGATGTTTAAGAAATTTAACTAAATTTTTCTACGAAGGACATATTCGTAAAAATTACCTAACGAATATAACGTGAGCGTCGTATATATCAACTCTCTTTGTTTATTGGCATACCTTTGAAATATTTCCACAGCAGGTATTTTGAATTTTGAATATTACTACGAATTCTCGACCCGAGCCACTTTCAACGTCTGACGAAATGACCAAGCATTCATCGTAATTATTTTTCAGAATCCCTTCTTAGTCGACTGGATAACCTCAGTGCACATCAAACTTGAAGGAGCGCTTCAGGCGTAAAATTGAAAGTTACCACCATATGGTCTATACCCACAAGTGATCTGTTTCTCTGTAAATATAGCAAACAATATACATATATCCGTTGTAATGTAGCTTCTGATGAACTTTCCTTGATGGTACCTAGACCTTATTAATGTAAGCGCAGTACTAGATTAGCGGCTAGGTCTCATCAATTTAGAGTTGAACAGTTTCTTTTCTTGCACTTTTTGCTTGTGGAATTTTCTTCCGGCTTCTTGATTTCCAACCAACTTTGATCTTTAAAAATTTTAAATGCAATGTCAATCGTTATCATCCGTTTTCTTGATTCCTCTTTTTTTTATTGTTTTTGCTCCTTAAAATGTTTTCC